TGAGTTTTGTTGAAGATGAATTTCAATTCTACAAATTTTGTTAGTTTTATAAAAACTAACAAGAAAATCCAAAAATATACTCCAAAGCTAAAATCCTGCCAGCTCCTGCTGGATGCACATCATCAACTGCACTCCAATAACAATGACCAACCAGTGACAAAATTGGAAACATCCACAAGAAATTTGGAATTTAAAAAAATTCATTAATGTAACTTTAAGTCCAGTCTTGGAGTGATTTGTGACTGTTATTGTACAGAATAGATTTAAAGTTTATTAAATTAGAATATGTCTCTACAGATTAAAAAGAAATTCATGTATATATTCAAGCATAGGCCTATTGATATTCTCAGACGACATGTATGATCGACACTAGTACTAGCTACTAGTAGTAACTCAATTATCATTTCTTAAATATCCTCTGGTAACTCAATTATCATTTCTCAGATAAAGATCACTATCTGCTCTTACATGGGAAGCATATTTTAATTAATAGTTCTGCTTTTTTCTAATTTTGATGGACATTGAAGCTAAATTTTTACATGGCAATTGTTCATAGCCTGGGCACAACCAGACTTGCTCAGACCCTCAGAGACACAATTTCATTGTCAGCACTATTGAACTTTCTGACTATCAATTAATATATGTTAAGTGTAATATAAAAAAAACCCTAACCAACACTCACATCCAATAATCCTCTGCACTTTTTTCCTTCTTTACAAAAGCTCAGAATTCATTATTGAAGTTAAGGATCACAGCATCATTATGAGAAGTATTATTCATCGTATCTTACACCTGAAAGAAACAGATGTGGTGAGAATTTAAGACAGATGTGTAGACGGATGATCCTTCTCCAGATTTTCAGCATTGCCCTTCTTTCAGTCTTAAATGGTTTTTTTATCTACTTCTACCCATTAAAGTGAGAATAGAAAGAAGGTTTATTTTGTTATCACTTTAAACCACAACATAAAGAAGCAAAAGGACCCAGCCAACATAAAGCATCTATTGACATCTAATTGTTTATTTGTGGTACTGCTCTTCACTGGCAGAACAGAGATCAATTTGGTGCTATCAGGGCTGGTAGCTCTTTTAAAGCTCTACAGGCTTTGAAGCCCAGATAGGCTAAGTATGACTAAATTTAGCAGATTTGACTCTTTTTGGAGGGTCTGTGATAGTAGTGCAGGAGAAGGATTTTCTAATGATGTGGGCTCTCAGCAAAGTAACTGGTGCATCATCAAACCAGAACATGTACAGGGGTCTCCAATTGCTCTAGCTCTCCCCTCAGGTAGACTTCAATTCTGGGTTAAAAGCAGCATCTACATCACTTCTGAAAATTCTTCAGTGGACTTTAAACTTGGTTGGGTCTTGGCTGATTGAAGTCACCTCTCTGCAGTTCCCCAATAATTCACAAAGCCAATTAGCTGTGGCCTTCAGTCCTTCTTCTCATCTGTGGGCTAAGGGAGGGAGTTGAAGTCCATGTTGAGCTCTGAGACAACACCTGAGTCCTGCAGCCAGCTTACAGACATGCTCCAAGGGCAAACATGTCACAATGCCCTTCCATTCACTTGCACAGTTCCCTTTTTCCTCGAAAACAACTGATCTGTGAGCAGGAAAACCATTTACTCAAAAATAAAGAGTAAAATGTTTTTCCTCTTCGATAATGTTCCCTGTTCTTTCAGTAGGTATTATGTTCTGTAATGTGCTGTGTGTGCACCCATTTTGTCATCGCTTTGGGTCATCCTTGCTCACAATTGGTTATTTACTCAGGGGCTTTTGAAATTATTGAGTTGACACATCTGTCAGACAGCAAAAGCAGAAATGCTAAAAGGTCACTTGGAGAGAAACCAGCTGCCTCAGACAAACCTTTCTGCCTTCAAATAGCACAATCATTATAGTCTAACAGATGGGGCCTCTGCTTTCATTTCTGCTTTTCTCCTTCACTTCAGGTATTTAGATATACTACCTCATTGCCAGGTCAACATAGGCCTTCTAGTAATTACCTACACAATAGGCAGCTCTCTGCCTAGGAGAAAACAGCTCTATTTTCTGTCTGCAAATGGGGAACCTGTTTCCTCACAGATATGAGTTACAGAAGGTTGGCCACAAACTTTGCTGTTAACAGATTAATTTGGATTCCAGTCATTACACTAGGAAGCATGTGTTTAGTACTGATCTAACACTTGGGAGAGCCTGGGGGCTTTTGGCAATGATGGTGATAAGTAGAAGTGAGTGAGTAATTCTTAACAAATAATTTAGTCAACAAATTTGGACTCCCTCCCTGTTTGGTGAACATTAACCAAGCAATTGTGATTTCCTGTGATTTATTCAATATCTGTGTTTTTGAAAAAGCATCCATTCAGATGATTTACATTCAGCTGGTGAGTGATGATGATTCTGAGTCGTGCTGTTGGGCTGTTGTGAGTCATAAACCATGTGATATTGTTTCTGTTCTGTGACTGGGCACAGCAGAGGGATTGCTTCTGACATAATAGCTCTCCTGTTTTAAACTTCTCTTTCAGGGCAAAATATGTCAAAAGCTTGATTGCTCATCAAGCATGTGGAAAAGGAACAATGGAATGCTGCAGAAGCATTCGGGTGAATGGAAAATAAAGATCCTGACCAAGTTTCCTTTATAAAAGATATTTTCAGAAACACCATATGCAATTACACAAATTCTTGGACAAGAAAAAGGCTGATTTTCAATAGGAAAAAAACACAACAAAATCCAAAGTGTTAAAATGGCAGTCGTTATTTCAATGAATCCAATTAAATTTCAAACCAAATCAATGCCCAAGAGGAAAGTTATGTATTTTGACAGAGAACACACATTTGAACTGTGTGAAAATTCTTGGTTCTCAATATATATAGTAGAACTTTTTTTTTTTTTAATAAAATTATGCACTGTGGGCAATAACAGAAAACTGAAAATTTTGCTTTTGGAAGGTCAGTGCACTACAAAGTAAACAGTATTGGAAGTGGTGTTTTCAAAGTAAGTATGTATCCATTATGGAATCCATCTTAGAGAGCTTTTAACACCAAGTGGCACCAAGACACAGAAATTTTAAAACAACTGGCCCCACTGTAAATTTTCTGTTTTTTGGAATCATAGAAGTAGGTAAGGGAATGTCTTTACTCTGTGGTACTGATTGGCTGGAACAAAGAAAGAATGAAAATTCAGAAAGCATCTTTTGGTTTTGCTGTTGGTTGATTATGGTAGCTCACTTCACTTAATTTCAGGTAATCTATCCTATTGATAGGATAGATAACCCTCAAGCTGTGGTTAATAAATCTGTAGAATACTGCAAACTGTATGAAAATTAATTACAGGAAGGAAATACTTTAATCACAAGGATTGTGATGTAGCAGGTCATAAAAGTCTCTATAAGGTCAAATCTTAAAAACAAATCTTGCAGTCTTTAAAAGACATCTGGTAAAAAAAAGGGACCAGGACTGTACTCCAAGTAGGTATTTAGGAAATAGTAACGTTTAACATTGGAATTTGCAAAAAAGCAGAAACAGCTCAGTCAAGGATGAAGCATTGGAAAGAGAAGACAGTGTTTCCCAGCAGGCTTGTGCCTAAATGATGCAAAAAGAGTCATATGTAAAGATTTGCAAAACTCAATAACCTAAGCACCAAAAATTTGATGCTGAGGGATTTGCTTTGCTAGAAAGCAGAGGCCCCTGGTACAGGGAGGTCAGGTGCTCCAGACTCTTGTTCCACAAATTGAGGAACCTATAGGCTAGAAGTGCCAGGATGTCATTCCCTAAAATGGTACTGAAAAATATATTTGCATGAATACACAGAAGTTGTTCAGGGGCGGAAAGATTGGAGGTAGAGCCAGTACTTGTCCCAAATGATTAGTGACACCGAGGAAGTTGTTAAGGCTTGGAACTTATGCCAAAAACACGGGCCAAGTCAAGCAAGAGAGTCCATTTTGGCACAGGAAAAATTGTTCTCCTGGAGAAAAGTATGCACAGAATTGTTTAGAATGACTGGAAAACATGATGTACTTGTCCTAGACTATTATTCTCATGTCAGGAGAATAGCTTTACTAGAAGATACTAGAGCTAAACCGTGATTATGCTTGTCAAATGTGTTTACACTAGACATGGAATACCTGGCATAGCGATGCTTGGCAATGAAGCACAGCTTAATAGGCACAAGTGCTGGCTGCAAGTGGTGAGTTTGGGGTTTAGATCTGTAATCCCTTGTCTTTTATTTACACCAGTCCAATGGGCAGGTTGAACACTGTGTCAGTATAGTAGATTTGCTCTTAATAAGAGATTGTTAATCCATAGAGAGGATAAACTGGTAAATTTTATGAAAATGACACTGGTTTTAGCTCTGAGCAGAACTAAGGGTTGAAATTAGCAGCGGTATCCTAGTAATTGTCAGCCTGATTTCACTGTCTGCAGGCTGAAGGGAGATACGTAGTCCCACCACTTTACAGCTTGCAACATGATTTCACTATTTTTTATCTCTTCAGAGAAGATGTTATGTGAGTAAAATTCCTGGCAGGTTAAAAGAGAAAAGCACAAGGATACGGTATTTTAAAAAAAGAGCAGAATGTGTTAGGAAGGAGGTAGAGTGCTCTGTGTGGCAGTGAGAGCCCTCCTTCTTGTAGAGCTCCTTTGTTAAAAGATGTCCTCTTGCACCAGAACAGAAACAAGCACCTAAAACCCTATCATGAGAGAACATATCAAAGAAGAAAGAGGCAAAAACCCAAATGGCATCAGTTCCTGTTTGTGTATTTTATGTCTCAGGGTTGTGCTGAGGCCTCCAGATCCTTTTGTATTCAAGTTATTGGCTTGCATCAGGTTTATGCAAGTCGCTGAAAGTCATTATCAGCCTAAGGTTGTTATATGTCCAATGTGAGATGAATTGGTTGTGCTTGACAGCTGTGGTGGAGCTTAGATGCAGAACATATTGCCATCAGGTCTCTTTCACAGTACACAGCAGAGAGATTCTTATTCTTTTTTTTTTTTTTTTTTTTTTTTTTCAATTCTCTTCTTACCATCAAATATTCTGTAAGAGTTGCTAGGAGCTGTATTGGCAGTGTTCAGCCTCAGAATAATTTCCTGTGCTTCTCAGGAGTCCCTGGTCAGGGGCAAGCCTGTGAGATCTGATAAAAGCAGGCTGAGATTCTTTGAGGAATGGTAGCAACCTAAAAACACTATAAAACCTGAGATTAAGGAATTTACACTGAAGGGAGAAGAGTGTAGTCTGAGTTAACATATTTAATGTCAGCTCCAGCTAGTCTCTTTTAAAAAATTCTTAAAATTTGTTCCTCCTCAATGCTGTGTTTCAGGATGTGAAGAGGTAACATTATTATCATCCATCATTAAATCCACTGAGTGTCAAACTTATCACCTTGACACTTTAATGATCCTTAAGATGTCCTTGTAAAAGCTGGGTACCATGGCAACCACTCAAACACAGGGCCTTGACATTGCTGAACTTCTCTTAATAAATCAGGCATAATTGGCATCTATGTATTATAATAAATTAAAAGTTATTCAACTGGAATGATTTTATATTGTACAATATTAAGTCATTAAGTTTGCTGTTCTGATGTCTCCTTTGCAATATAATTCCTGTGTGTGCTTTTTAGCACAGAAGATTTTATCTTCCCCTCACAAGGTATAGCTGGGGGGATTTGAAGGTGCAGCAAATCAGTGCATAGTCTGTCACCCCCAGCAAAGTGGGTTTAAACGAGAGCTCCACTGAAATGATTTATTCCCAAGGACCAAAGTAATCCGATTAGGCAGGTTAAAATTGCCTGTACATTTACTCAGGGCGCTGCATGATCCTTCTGCAGTGATCTGTCCTTCTTCCCTTTGTCTTCTGCTTCATGCTCCTGCTCAGCCTGTAGACCTGCACAGCAGCTGGGGTGAATTGCCATGGCAAAGGTGGGTGTAGCCCCCAGGAAGTACCTGGGGAAGGTGAGAGGGGATGTGCCATCCCTGTGATGTCACTATGCCAGTGGCACTCAACTCTGTGCCTGCCCCCTCTTGACTCTGTCCTGTCCTGACTGCCTCAGGTCACCTTTTGGAAGAGCTCTGGTTAGGAGTTACAAATCCTTGAAGATAGGAGCATGTGGTCCTCGTAAACAGAGAGTACAAAAAGAAATTTGCCATATATCCAGGTTCTTCCTATCTATTCTGTCCTCTATGGCAGCACCAGCTACAGACAAGAGGGTTTGAATTCATTGCCTTTGTGTTGCAAAGGTCATCACACTGTCTGTGTAGCACTTTCTGGTATCAGACTGCTTGAATGGAATATGAAATGTTGGGTGGAAAACTTGAAAGCATATTAAAAATATTACCCTGAGAGAATGAATAGCTCTAGTTGTTAAATTCCATCTCCTTCCTTCTTTAAAGATCTTTTATTGATTTTCTGAATGGGTCCTTAATGTCACAGAGTTATAAGGTATTTCAAAAATTAATTATTTTGCCCATAGAATGACTACAGCAGAAGCCATGTGAAATTTCCATTTGTTTTCTGCAGATTTTGATTTTTAAATGTCTGGATTTTAAAGCACAAACCTATTTGGTTAATGAGACTGGGAATCAGGAAACAGGATTTTTCACTGTACTGTGTCACATTGGCCAACTACAGAAAAAGACCAGTAGAATGAATTCACAGTGATAATACCAGATGCATTGGTGAGAAATGGAAATTCAGAGATTTGTCAGGTTCTCAGTTAAGTCAGTGTGAGCTCTAGCTGGACTGAGGTCTCTCTGAAAACCTACTTGTTACCTTGCCTGACCAGGTTTTCTGACTCTGTACTGATCTGTGTGCCATGTTTAGATTTCTCTTGGTGACACAGTGGTGGCTTTCTGACCTTCCTCTGATTTGATACTGAAATAAATAAAGTCAAAAGAACTGGTCCTTTGGACATGTTTGTCCATCTGTTAACTACCAAGGAAACGATGTGTGCATGCTCTTTTTGTGGGCACAAAATCTCTTTGCACACTGTGCACACAGTGTGGCACAGTGACAGCAGCACATTTTTGGATAGGTTTGCATTACACATGCCTGAGAAGTTCTCAACACAGCAGATTATTTGTGAATATATTTAATCTGAAACCTGTTTCAATATTTCACTGATAGAAAAAACCTGCTAATACTTATGCAGGTGTTTATCTAGTGTGCAGAGCTAATTAAGGCTGGTCATTGAGACAGTGAAGCTAAGTCAAAACATAAACATCTATCTATGTGTCATTGTGATTTTAACTATTATCCTGGTTGCCCTTCATACCCAGTTGTTTCTCAGGCTTTCCAGTTGTGTTTTATATTCAGGTATCAGCTCTCAAGGACAAAGAGAGGGTCGAGCTTTTGGTGACAAACAGCCCTAGCACACTGGAAGATGCTCAAAAAAGAATGTTAATCATTAAAGGATGCTAATAGTTCTCTTCTTTCACCACTACTGTGCAGTTGTATCAGACAGTACCACAGTTTAGAGCTATAAAATAAAAAATGCATCCTTGATCACAATTACAATATCAATACACAGATATTTTAAAAGATAAATTGCAAGGATAATTGTTGAAATATGTTGTTTATCAACATTTTTATTTTTAATATCTTCTTAATATAAGATCAAAATCTAAAGGAAGTTGAATTTAATTATTGAAATTTATGTTTTAAACTGAGACCAAATTTAAGATGTCTTTGAACTGATTTATTGCCCCAAATTCAAAAGGTCACAGAATTTCTTAGTCTTATATAAACTTTTACTAAAAGTGTTTTGTATTCTGATACACAAAGACTAATGCTTGCTTACAGAGAAATTCTAAGATCCCAAAGAAAAATGCAGTGCTACTACAGCACATTTTGTCACACTAATGCCTAGCATGATGGATGTTGTTATTTAAAAAATAAAGTTCTGAGAGGCGTTGCTTACAAACATTTTCAGGATGATTTTAGCATATTCTTCCACATGTTTCTGCAATTCACTGCTTTCACAATTCCTTTCACTACTGATGAACTTCACTTGTGAAGCACTTGTGGAATTGTTGTGCACTACAGAAAAGCACATTTTAAGAGGGTGGAGGAGAAAGGCCAAAGTAAAATAGAGATCTGCACACGAAAAGATTGTAATAGTTTATGTGGTGGCTTAGGAATGGAATTTGAGCATTTTGACCATAGAGCTATTGTTACCAGATCCCTTGTTTCTGCAAAGACAAGTATTTGTTTGGGTATATTAATGCACTTGTTATCGCAGCTGAGGTACCTTAGCTGAGCTCAAACTGTTTCTGCATACTAGCAAGTTTCCAAATATCACCTTCCCAAATTTTATTTTCTTTCTTTTTATTTCTCTTCTTCTTTTTTCTAAAGAGGAATTGCTGCTTTAGTTGTACCAGGAATTCTTATGTTCAGCAGCTTCTGCTGATCTCTACATTGAAACATTCACTTTGATCTAATGTATCTAATAGAAGGATGATTATCAGGTTGCTATGTGAGATAATTTATAAAGACACAGTACATTCCACCACATTCACCATTTAGGAAAGTTAACCCAGCACTTCAGTAGATGCTTTGCTTCAGGCTTGCTACTTGTGTCCTTTTTGAGGGTGGCATTTTGGTCCTTTAAAATTTGGCTTTTATTAAAATGCAGTAAAGGCAAGCAAAAGCCTTAAAATACAAAATAGGTGCACCCTGATGCAGCTGATGTCAGTAATGCTGATGATGAAGGATGCAGCCTGCCTGCTCATCAGGTGATTTTGCATTCTAATACTAATAATTAAAGTGCCTATTTTTATTAGAAACTTTATTGGTTATATAAAAATGGAAGAAAGGAGTGCATAAATAGCATGTGATGTGTTGTAGCAAATCACTCAACCTCTTGCCTACACCATTGTTTCTGTTAATGGTTCCCTTTGCAACCAAGCTTTTACTTTTACTTTTTTAATAGAAACAGAAAATCTGGTGTCTGGCAGCCTCTGCGTTTGACTGTGCTTTAATTCACTACGCATCAGCAGGTGTCCAATACTCAATTCTTGATGCTTATATATTGTGTTTCATCTGCTGTCATCCTCAGAGCTAAAAAGTATGGTCCTCAGTTCAAGTTTTATATCTGTGTAGGAGAACAGAAGTGTGAACTACAAGTGCAGCTGGTACAGACCCAAGTGACATAGCTTTGATCTGGTTAGTTTCCAATTCCAGCTTCCAGCACCAGTTGTAGCCTCCCAGTGTGAGGGAAGGCTCATACAACCCCTGCAGAAGGGGATTGCTCTGGGCTTGGGCTCAGCTCAGTCTCTTCCTCCCAAGCTGAGGTCTTGCCGCATCAATAGAATATACCTGATTTTCCCCAAAGCTGCACAGTCTGAATGGCTTCTTATCTGTGTGCTCTGGGCACTCTAAGGGAGAACAAAATGGCTGTTGGGTACAATTGTGAAGAAAAAATTATTTTTAAATTCTTTTTTTTTCTCCTTTCATAATGAGATCTGACTTGCAGGTTGACAATGTCTCTCTTGTACAGTGTGTGGGTAAAAGTGGAAGTTTGAAAAGGATGAAAGGATGGCTATAAATAGTTTTACACTTAATTGTGTTCTGATGCATGCAGGCTGTGCATGCCTCTTTGATATTTGTGTTTTCTTTGTTGTGCACTCTTAAGGAAATTTCCTCTCCCTGAGAGAGGAGGGTGACTGCTCTGTCCTCTAAACTCTGGGAGGACTTGCCCTGCAATTCCTGAGGGCAATGTTGTCCTCATGTTTTCTTTCTCTTTTCCCATACCTAAAATCCATAATTTTAAGGAAAAAATATTAATTTTATTTTGAGTTCTTGCATGGTAGCACCAAACACATAATTAGGCGTGGACATGTTAGAATTGTTTCAGGTTGGTCTGTCTGTAAAAATATGCCCAGAAGCTTGACTTCTAGGAACAGCAGCAAAAGAAGAATTAGGTATTCTTAGTTAAAAATACATCTAAAACAAGTTGCTTTTGTAGGCATATTTGTTCATCACCACTTATCTGCGCTGAGTTTATTCAAAATTAGTAATTGTTGAGTAATGGTGAAAAGGTGTCTTTCTGCTTTTACAGAACAGATATTTAGAATGCCCACATCTCCTCATCATGCTGCAATACCATTGTCACTTTTATCACAAAAGATATCATGTATTTCTGTATATGAAAAATGTATTCTAGAACTACTCTGAATTAGTTTTTAATGTACTGTGACCTTGAATTGCCCCAGGATATTAATGCTAAATGATTACTTCTGAATGCTTTTTGAATAGCTGCACAGAGCAATTAAATGCACCATACATCACACATGACATAGTTAAACGCCTCTTCTGGTCAAGGAACCTAAACAGTTCTTTCAAATGATGGTAATTCCATATTACTAAAGATGGGAGAAAAAAAAAAAAAGAAGTAGTTTGCTAACATTAAGAGAAGCATAACCTGGCAGAGGTTATAACTCTGCCTGAGATAGAACAAAATAGAAAGATTTTCTTTATGGTGGTCTACAAGTAAGATCACTGCAAAATCAAAGCACCATCACACTGCATTTTTTCTCTTGACAAAGGGAGCAATAGTAATAAATCCCTCCCTTTTTGACAAGTTGCCATTTTTTTCCTGTAAAATAGAAGAATAACGAATATGGTTCATAAAATGGGTGTAAAATGTGGGCACTGCTGTTACATATGGTATATTGCACAGCCGTTGATTTTAGAATGTGGAACGACATAAATGGGATCTTTGCAAAACCTTCTAATAAAATTAGTGAAGTTTAGAAGTAATCACAGGGGCCAAGATTAATCTGATAACTGGAGAAAAAAAAGCTTTTTGCTTGGGTCACTGATTCAAATCTGACCTGGCTACTTGAAAGTATGTGCTATTTCAGACGCAGTGGCAATTTTGGCC